CATGCCAGGCCCTCGCTGCAGCTCTCGGGGCTCGGCTACAGGCTCTTGGCACCCATCTAGAGCAGCGGGGTGTCAGCCCAGAGTCAGGCCCTGCGTTTGCAGCCCGCTCTCCGAGGCTTCCCCCAAGCTGCAGAGCGGACGGGATGGGGAAGCAGCCCCAAGGGAGGTGAGCAGGTGAGCCAGGAGGGACTGGCGTGCCTCCGTCCATGTCTGCAGGCCACCCCGGAGGAGAAGGCCAAGCTGGATGACTTCTTTGCCCGCAACTCCTATGTGGCCGGCCAGTACGACGACAGCGCCTCCTATGAACGCCTCAACCAGCACATGAGTAGCCTCCATCGGGGGCCACCATCCAACCGCCTCTTCTACCTGGCCTTGCCGCCCACAGTCTACGAGGCGGTGACCAAGCACATCCGAGAGAGCTGCATGAGCCCCACGTAAGGCCCCTCTGCCCTGCCAGCTCTCCTCAGAACGTTAAGGGGACAGGATCCGCTGGACGTCCCCTAGGTGAATCCTACGGGAAAGTGGGAACCCTTGCCCGCCCTCCCAGTTCCTCCAGCGCTAGCCTGCCTGCAGTCTCAGCCTGCACCACGAGATGGCAGTGTTGCGCCATGAAACAGCCTCTCGCGGCTTCGCAGGATCCCCGTCACAGCCACCAGGTGGCAGTGTGGCTCCCTGAGCATCCTGGAGCCCCAGCCGGGCCTTCTCCCTGTGGGCTCCCTCCCACCTCTAAGCCACGCCCCTGAAGACTCCCCACCCCATTTGTGGGGGCTGGCATGTAGGAAGTGGGGGGAAAGCTGGGGGTCCCGAGGGCAGCAGCTGTGGCCTCCCCGCAGAGGCTGGACCCGCGTCATCGTGGAGAAGCCGTTTGGGAGGGACCTGCAGAGCTCCAACCGGCTGTCAGACCACATCTCATCACTGTTCCACGAGGAACAGATCTACCGTATCGACCACTACCTGGGCAAGGAGATGGTGCAGAACCTGATGGTGCTGAGGTGGGGCTGGCCTGCCAGGACGTGGGGCGCAGGGGAGGGCAGGGTGCCAGGGAATGTGGCTGCAGCCCTCAGCCGCCCCTCTGCAGGTTCGCCAACAGGATCTTTGGCCCCATCTGGAACCGAGACAACATTGCCTGTGTGATCCTCACCTTCAAGGAGCCCTTTGGCACCGAGGGCCGCGGGGGCTATTTCGACGAATTTGGGATTATCCGGTGAGGCCCAGAACACTGGGACCCTAGGCTCCTGGGGGCACTCCCGGAGGGGGGTCAGGAAGATGTCTTATTGCCAGAGGGTCCCTGGAACTAAGCCATGTCCCCCACTCCCCGTGAGCCAGGGACGTGATGCAGAACCACCTGCTGCAGATGCTGTGCCTGGTGGCCATGGAAAAGCCCGCCTCCACCAGTTCGGACGACGTCCGCAACGAGAAGGTGGGGTGGGACCCTCAGGCTCCTCCCACCATGTGGGCACTGCAGCTGCGGGGGTCCTGAGGCTTATCTCCCACTACGTGCAGGTCAAGGTGCTGCAGTGCATCTCAGGGGTGCAGGCAGACAACGTGGTGCTGGGCCAGTACGTGGGGAACCCAGACGCAGAGGGAGAGGCCACCAAGGGATACTTGGATGACCCCACAGTGCCCGCAGGCTCCACCACTGCTACCTTTGCGACCGTCGTCCTGTACGTGCAGAACGAGAGGTGGGAAGGTAGGTGCCGGGGCTGCCTGGGAAGGGGGGCCCAGGTCCGCCCAGCACAGTCCACCTCACCTGTCATCTGCCCCAGGGGTGCCGTTCATCCTGCGCTGCGGCAAAGCCCTGAATGAGCGCAAGGCCGAGGTGCGGCTGCAGTTCCGCGACGTGGCAGGTGACATTTTCCAGCAGCAGTGCAAGCGCAATGAGCTAGTCATCCGCGTGCAGCCCAACGAGGCAGTGTACACCAAGATGATGACCAAGAAGCCCGGCATGTTCTTCAGCCCCGAGGAGTCCGAGCTGGACCTCACCTACGGCAGCCGCTACAAGAACGTGAAGCTGCCCGACGCCTACGAGCGCCTCATCCTGGACGTGTTCTGCGGGAGCCAGATGCACTTCGTGCGCAGGTGAGGCTGCCCCCCCCCCCACACACACACAGCCCCGCGCCCTCACGGCCCACGCCCTCATGGCCCGAACTTCCCTGTAGCGACGAGCTGCGTGAGGCCTGGCGGATCTTCACGCCGCTGCTGCACCGGATCGAGCATGAGAAGGCGCCGCCAATCCCCTACGTCTATGGCAGGTGGGGCGGACGGCCCTGAGGGGGGGTGGGCACCGTGGGGAGGGCCACAGCCTCACACCCATGCTGTTGTGTGGCAGCCGCGGCCCCACGGAAGCAGACGAGCTGATGAAGAGAGTTGGCTTCCAGTATGAGGGCACCTACAAGTGGGTGAACCCCCACAAGCTGTAAACCCAGCAGCCCATCCCCCCGCGGCTGCAGCCTCGACGCCTCCTACCCACCAGAGCTACGGGCACCGTCGTCCCCCGAGCCCCGCTGAACAGCCCCCTTGGTGCCACTTGACATTCCTAACCGTCCGCTGGCAGGGCCCCGGGGCGCCTCGCTGCCCAGCTCAACTCTGCACTCCATGGCCACCCCCAGGGCCGCCAGCCATTAAACCCATTCCAGCCACATGCCTGCTCCGCCTGAGTCTCTTCACCCAGTCAAGGACACAGGGAGAGCTAGCCCCCATCTGGGATTGAAGGGATGGGCCGCGGAAGGCGCTGCCCTGGTGCGCAGGGGCGATCCCGCTTCCGTCCCTGAGTGGCCCCTGCGCACAGCTGGCTGTGGCCAAGACACCCCCAGAAGCTTTGGCCCTTGCCTCCCTCCCTTGCATAGGCTTTCCCCCAGGGGCCCACACCAAACACGGTAGCTCATGGACCAAGGGGTACCCCAGGGTCTCTAAAGCAGGTGACCTGGGAGATTCCAGGACACAGACTTGGGATTGGGCAGGGGAGTGACCGGTGAGCAGGGAGAGTGCAGACACTTCCTGTCATGGGGAGGTGGGGACGCCCCCAGACTGGCAGCCAGAGCACCTGAGTGCAAGCCAGGCTGTGGTGATGGCTCCCCCGGTCAGCTGGCCTTACCCCAGCTTGATACCCCCAGTCTATACCTTCGAGGTGGGGGGAAAGGGGCTGCCTGTCACCCAGCCTCTGTGCCACCTCCCTTCCTGCCCACCCATCTTCTCTGGCGACTCTCCCAGCTGCGGGAGATGGGACATAACCCGGTCATCAGGACACACCCAACCTTCAGTGGTGACTTCCTGCAGCCCTGGGGATTCTGAACCCCTACCTGCTCACGGTGGCTGCACCTCTCTGTGCTCGGCACCAGATGGTGCCATCTGCCTGGCCCAAGGAGAGCCACGGCGTTGGAAAATGCCACCCCTGGGGACTCAACTCCTAAGATCCCTGGTCAGGGATCACCAAGTCAGAATTGTGAGACAAAGCGCCCCGAGTAGAAGAGGGAGATGCAGTTCCCACCCGAACCTTGGCACAACAGAACACGGGTGAAAAAAGCCGAAACAGCAGAGCCTGCCCTGCCACCTGGCACGGTGGGAAGAGGGGGGTCTGACCACAGCAGTGTTAGCAAGGTCCAAGCACACACTTCATCTGTGGGACGCCCGGGTTCTGGTCCTGACACCACACGCTCCCCCAAGCAGCACTATGCCAAAAGCTCTGCTCATCCAGAAGGGACACGAAGCACAAATGGCACGAATCACGTAGGGGCCCCCCGGAGCTGCCAGGAACACAGGTTAGGAAACATTTCCTAGCTAGGACACCATGGTCCCCTGGGTCACCCTGGTCTGGACCACCAGTCAGTGTAACCTGTCGCACCTCAGCCCTCAAGTGGAGACTGCACCAGACTGAGGTGCCATGACTGACAACACTTGCGGCTCATGTGGGCCAGAAGCACAGGTGTCAGGCCCTGTGAGCAGCACAAAATGACAGCTGTCGTGGCTGCAATAAGTAGCCAGTGGAGTTGTCACTTGTCCTCCCGGGAGAAGTGACCATTGGTACCTGAGTGTGACGTGCTCACAGGAAACTTTCTCCATCTGTTAGGGGCCCAGTGGGAACGCAGCGGGGAAATGAGCTTGTAAGGCTGCCCCTCGATCGTAGGGCCTGGAAGTAAATCTCCCCGCCTGCCACTGTCTCGGGGTGCAGGCTGCACCCCAGAACTGTGAGGGCTTCACTGGGAGCCCTGGGACAGGGAGCTTCCTGGACTGGGCACAGCAAGCCTGGAGTGGGGATCTTCACCCCAGAATCCCACAATACCAGAGGCTTCGGCAGATGAAGGTGGGCTGAGCCCAAGATCCACGACGTCACCATCATAAGCCCTCACACTGGTTGTCTGACTTGGTAGGGAGGTAGAGGGACCTCTGTCTACCCTCTCGGAAGCTTCTGAATCTAACCTGCGTTCTCTCACTGCATCAGTGGGTCAAAGGGGGAGTTGGTAAAAAGGCGGCGGCCGGGCTGTGTGACCGCAGAGGTCGCGGGGTGTAAGTCAGGGCCCCTTCCCGGGGAGCCACTCCTTGATGGGATCCTTTTTCTTTGGAATCGGCCCGGTTCTGCGTTCAGGGCTCATTCCTGACGGAGCTCAGAGGAGCGTGTGTGGTGCCAGGAACCGAGCCCGGGGGCCACGTGCGAAGCAAGCGCCTGACCCGCTCGCTGTGCTGTCTGTCTCGGCAGCCCCCGGCTTCCTTGAGCAGTGCCCCCCGTGGTCTGGGTGCGTCTCGCGGCATCTCGCGGTCGGCGCCGTAAGCTCTTCAGATCTGCCCTCAATGCTCCCTCGGGCCACGCCCGTCATTATTCGGACCCTTTGTCAGTTGGCTGGAGCCCGATCGAGCGCTCCGGCGCCAGGAACCAGAGTCCAAGCACACACGGTCCGAGTCCGCCAGCCCCTGGCTTCCGGGGCGGGGCCGGGGGCGGGGCCGAGTCCGGGTCTCAGGCCCCGCCCCCGGACGCCATTGCCGGGGCGGCCTGCGCAGCTGCCTCGCGTCCCCTCGCCCGCCCCGCGAGGTCGCGAGCCTGGGGCCTCCGTGGTCCGGCGCCGTCCCGCTTCCCACCGCGGAGGAGACTCCGTGACCGAGGGAGGAGGTGGCCCGGGCGGCCGGACGCGGACATGCGTCTGGCAGGTGGGTGCTTGCACCGTGCCGGGAGCCCACTGCCTTCCCCGCCCCCGGCTCCCTCCTCGGCGACGCGGGGGGCGTGGCCGGAGACGGGGGACGCACCGGGACCGTGGGGGCGGGGGGTGCGGAACAGAAGCCCTGGCGGGGGCGGGGGACTAGATGGGCATCCTGAGAGCTTGGGGGGCAGCGAGCTGAATGGAGAAGCGCTTCCAGGGGCAGGGCCGGGGCCCACTGACCGGACTGACGGGCCGGGACCGGGACTGTCCTGCTGTAGGCCCCCTGCGCATCGTGGTCCTGCTCGTCACCGTGGGCCTCACGTGGATCCTGGTCAGCACCCTACTGGGTGGGCCTGGGACAGCCTTTCCGCGCCTCCAGCAGCTCTTCAGCAGTGAGTACAGGGCACGGGCCGCGGGGCCGGGGTCCCCTCCAGACCAGCCTGTCCCCTTGGCCTGCGCTGGGAGGTGGGGTACACGGTGGGGTGCTGACAGCCGGCAGAGGGAACAAGGTGCTTTGTATGCGGGAAACCCCCAGCGTTTCCAAGAGGGTCAGGGGTGAAAACCGTACCCTGGGGTGGGCCACCACACCAGCAGGCACCACGGGAAGGAAATGAGGTCGGGAGAAAATAAAGAAACGCTGGTTGGGATGTGGACTTGACGTGTGACACGACACTCTGTCCCCACAGACCCTGAGAACTTGGTGACTGCAGGTAAGCCTCCCCTCCGCCCTCGTCCCCTGATGTCCGTGTGCTTGGCAGGGTTCCGCCCCCGAACTGGCATCCCTATTCCCAACCGTGGAGGCTAGGAAGGAATCCAGGGGCTGCCAGCCCCAACTTCATCCGGAGGCTGCAGGGAAGTGTGCCAGACCCTGCTATGCACCCCACCTCACCGAGCTGGGCCCCTTCTGTCCTCACACGCTGCCACTCCAACCCCTGACCCATGTTGCCCCAGAACCTTCTCCATCCCAGGGTGTCAGTATCTCTGCAGTGACTGAAATGAGCACCTCCTGTACGGCCAGAGCCCCGGGTTCCATAGCCGGCACCCCCAGACCCTCTAGCACTGCCAGGAGCAGCCCCCCAAATGCAGTCTCCTCTCCGGTCTGTGAGGCAGCCCTCCGCTGCACACTCCCACTTCACACTCCCCACTACCTGCCTCACCCCTGGCGGGCTGTGGAGCGCCATCTGCAAACAACCTCCATCTGTGCTCAGAACAGGCGGCGGCAAGGTCAGCCTGCCCCAGACTGGACATGACGGGTAGGAGCCAATGCGCCCGCCGGGTATCCAGACTCTGGAACAGCTTCCTCCTTTCTGTCTGGCCAGACGCACCTCTGACATTGAAGCTTCTAGTACATTCCGTTCCGGAGACATTGTGTTTGCCAGGAGACAGACGCTTTCTCCATGCTCTGTCTCGCCTGTTTCTGAGCCTCGAGCAGAAACGCCAGCGGCAACCAGGTCGTTGCACCCGTTTGAGGCTAGTGGCGCCATGGCTCCCAGCCAGGCCAAACCTGCCTGGTGCAGCTGCTCTAGCTCCGAGGACACATTTGTTGACCTGTAGATGTCCTCCTGGCATGGAATAGGGCGTGTATCTGCCTTCGCAGTTCACGAAACCTCTGTGCCACAGTTTGCACGTGTCCCGACCTCGTGTGGCCCTTCGAGAGCCAGTCCCAAAGCCATCTTCCTGACTGGCAAGACGCACTCCCTGGCAGCGCAGTGTACACGTGCCTTCCTGTGGCTTTCCCACAGTGCTTTCCCACCAGTAATAGACTCTTGCCCAGCTCTGGAAGCTGGTGGTGACAAGCTAGGGGTTGGGGGTGCACACACAGGACCTGGGGGTCCCTGCCTCCTCTAGCCTCTGGCTCAGTCTCATCTTCCACGTGCACGTGCTTTCTACATGCCTGTGTTGCTTCTCTTCACTTGGAAGGATACAGCCATTGGCTGGGGCATCTCCGCCACGAGCTCCCGTGAACGCATAGCACTATCAAAGCCCCTCTTTCCATTCGGGCTACTGTGAGTTGGGACTTACACTGAGCCTCTGTGGGGTGCGCTGCCTGCCCTCCAGGAGCTTCTCCCCTTCGTCTCCGTGCCCTGCCCTGTGCTCACTCATCCCTCACTCCGGACTGTCCCTTCCCAGAGCCCCGGGCCCGCAAGTATAAGTGTGGCCTGCCCCAGCCATGTCCTGAGGAGCACCTGGCCTTCCGCATGGTCAGCGGCGCTGCCAACGTCATCGGACCCAAGATCTGCCTCGAAGACAAGATGTGAGCTGGGGCGCGGGAGGGGTGGGCAGCCACGTGTGCAGCCTGGACGGGGCAGCTGGGCGCTGAGGGCCGTGGCCGCGTCTCCTTGACAGGCTCATGAGCAGCATCAAGGACAACGTGGGCCGCGGACTGAACATCGCCCTGGTCAACGGTGAGCCCCCACGCACCCACTCGAGACACGGGGACCCCTGGGAAGGGTCTGTGCGAGCTCAAGACTCCAGTGACCAGGAAAAGAACTAGAAGTTTCAGGCCTCAGTCGCCTGGCACACAGCCAACTCAGGGTTACTCCCCAGCACCTCATAGGAGCCCCAAGGCCCGCCAGAAGTAAGCTCTGGCTGCAGTACCAGGAGTAAGCCCTGGGCACAGCTGGGTATAGCAACAAATTCTAGAAGCTCCCAAGAATTCCGAGCGGGCTGCATGAGGAGTCCTTGAAGCACCCCAAGTCCAGGCAGAAGCCCCACAGCTTGGAGGAGAGAATCGGGCCCACGGCTGCACCCACAGCCCCACTCTGCCCTGCCCCTTGCCCCTAGGCGTCAGCGGGGAGCTCATCGAGGCCCGAGCCTTCGACATGTGGGCTGGAGGTGAGTGGGGGCCCCTCAGACCACTTACTCCCTACCGCGGGGCCGCACCAGTGGGTTTTCCTGTGTGGAGAACAGGGGCTTGTGGGGGGCAGGCCTCATATTGTGCATCACGTGGTTCCAGACGTCAACGACCTACTCAAGTTCATCCGGCCACTGCATGAGGGCACCTTGGTGTTTGTGGCCTCCTATGATGACCCAGCCACCAAGTAAGTGCGCGCCAAGCCTCTGTCGCCCTGCTTCCCAACAACGCCTTACCCCGTTTCTCCCTTTCTTTTGGGTGGCAGGATGAACGATGAGACCAGGAAGCTTTTCAGCGAGCTGGGCAGCAAGAACGTCAGGGATCTGGCCTTCCGGGACAGCTGGGTGTTTGTGGGCGCCAAGGGAGTGCAGAACAAGAGTCCCTTTGAGCAGGTAGAGTGGGGGGCCCAGCCCTTCCACCCCAAGTCCTCGTTCTCTTTGCCCCTGCATTCAGCCCCCCAAGGGCCTAAACTCGAATGGTAGAACTCAAAGCTCAGACCCAGCCTCCCAAAGTTCGTCCTGTCCCCTTGGGCACACTTCAGGGACCAGTGTCACCTATGCCAGTCCCTCAGCCCTCTCTTAAGTCAGCAGGACAAGGTGCTTTCTGGAAGCTTGTGGCTGCCCAGAACAACTCAACCCGGGAGAAGGAACATCTCCCCCGCCCGAGTCACCATCCCAGAGCAGCCAGCCCCATACACTCTGCTGACCCCTGGCGGGGGACCCACCCTCAAAGGCCCACAGAGCCCTGCAGCATGGCCATTTTTCAGGGCTCTGCTGGTCTGTGCCCAGGACTGACCCACATTCCCTCCCACAGCACGTGAAGAACAGCAAGCGCAGCAACAAGTACGAGGGCTGGCCCGAGGCGCTGGACATGGAAGGATGCATCCCCCGGAGGAGCGTGGCCGACTAGGGCTGTGTGCCACCCCGGCATCCTGGCAGGCAGCACCCTCCGCAGGTGCACAGGGGCCCTGAGGACGCCTTCAGGGGCAGGGGCCCGCAGGGCTGGCCCTTGGGTCATTTTCTGGGGAATCGCAGCCAGGACCCAGCACCCCATGCCCTCGGGCTGCAGGAGGCGTGGCCGGAGGCACTGTCAGAGCTGTGCTGCCCCTATAGGCCCAGCGAGAGGGGCCCCCCGGCACCGGGCTCACCGACCAGCAAGGAAACGCAGTGGGTGCTGGGTGTCTTAAGCAGCTCCCTAATAAAGTGGTGGCCTCAAGTACAGCAGCACGTGTTCTGTGGCGAGTGGGCAGGGTGAGGGAGCCTCAGGGCAGGATCCCTGTCCCCAGAACGGGCCCTCCGCAGGCGGTGGTGTCAGGATGCTCGCCCACTCCTGCTGTGGATTCGAGGGATGCTCTTGTGTCCCTTCCTCACTCACTCACTCCCAGTCATTGTTTTGTTGCTGCCTCCTCGGTACCCTTCCCCAGGTTTGCTCCCCTTTGTCGGGGGTCTACTCGCACTTGAGGCACACAGCGCCGTGCTCACCAGGAGCGCCATGTTTTCCCTCACGAGGCTCGCGGGTGCCACACCGCGAGGCTGCCAGGCTCCCCTCAGCACGTTGGGTCCATGACCTGAAGCTAGCAAGGCAGGCGCTTGGCCAGCCTGGGGCTGCCTGCACATTCCATCCAGCTCGATGGGGCACATTGCCTCGATGGGGCAAGAATCAGCCAGCACCTAAGGAGAGGGTATTCCAAGGCGGTAGGAACTTCAGAGATGAGGAGTGGGGCCAGCAGAGCTCAGGTCCAGCGTCCCACACCTCGGCCTTCAGGGCTTCGAGTCAACGAGCTTGGTGGGAGTTGCAGCAGAAGAACAGCCTGACCTCAGCTGACCAGGTGCTTGAGATGAGTGTGAACTTCGGGAACATACTTTAGAGATTGGTTTCTGCTTTTCTGGTTTGGGGATTTGGGGGCTATGTCCGGAAGTGTTCACTGACACTGTTCAGTGATCACTCCTGGTGGGGCTCCGGGGACTACATATGGTGCCAGGAATCGAACCAGGGCCAGCCACATGCGAGCTTTCCCACCTCTGGGGTGCTCTGTCCTACGACTCTACGGGAGCTCAGGGTATCCCTGGTGACAGGTGACAGAACTGCCAAACTGGTATCAACAAAACCCATCAATGGCAAGAAGGGATGGTTCCCCGAAGAGCAAGAGGAACTGTGACCTGCAAGCTGTCCCTGCTGTCTTCCCACGCTCCTGTCAACAGCTTTGTGCAGACAGCGCCTGGCAGGGGCACTGTGACTGTGTCACAGAGCATAACAACATGCCTCTGCCTCTGTCCCTCTGTCCCGTCTGCCAAGGTTCAACCCCTGAGCCCCATGCACAAGACACAGGGGTCCTACCGCTGATCTAGTCCTCTTCACTCCCCTTTGCCAACTTCCACCTTCTTTGTTTTGGGGCCTCACCTGGCAGTGCTCAGGGGATATTTCTGATTCTGCACTCAAGAATCACTCCTGGCAGGCTCAGAACCCTATGGGGTGTCAAGGATCAAACCCGGGTCAGATGTGCACAAGGCAAGTGATCTACCTGCTGAACTACCTCTCTGGTGGAGACTTTATCTTACTGATTTTGGCAGGGAGTTGTTGGGAATCGAACCCTGGTCTTACACATGCAGTCACTGCTCTGCTGCTGAGCTACCCTGCAGCACTGGAACTACACCTTAACTCATCTATAAAGCTCCCCTCTTCTGCTGGGGGTCAATTATGCTGATTTTGGTTTGGGGGACACATGGGGCGGTCCTTGAGGGCTAGTCCCAGCTCTTTGCTCGGGGTTGCCCAGAGGACCATATGGTGCTGGGGTATCAGTTCTTAACCCCCATTCTCTTACCTTGGCTCTAGTCACCCCTTTACTTTTGCAGCAGTGTCCACAGGAGCTTTCTGCCCACCAGGTTTTTTGGGGGAAACTGAGGTGACGGAGAAATAGGGAGTAGCCTTGGAGTGAAGACTCTGCACACACAGGCTGGGATTCAAGCCCTGCCAGGCGTGACCCCCAGCACAGAGTCAGCTCTTGGAGAGTGCGGGTGCCATCCCGGGGACATTAAGCACACATCTGGCACCAGAGAGTGCAGACTGGAAGCGTGGACTGTACATTGAGCCCGTGGGGTGAGGTTTGTGCCAGGTTGGTCAAGAACCACTGGGTGGGGGGAGAAGAAAACTAAAGTCGGCTTTGGTGGGGGTAAGGCACGCCTCTGAAGGGTTGCTATGCAGCTTGGCATGCTCACTCACTCCCCTTTCTCTGGGCCTGACGCAGCTCCATATTTGGCCCATGTTCTATGATATCATCTGCCTTCAGTTCCATGTGTGCATCCGCTCTCTCCGCTCTGCTAGTGGGAACCTGAGACACAGTTATGATTAGAACATTTGCAGCACATGTGGCAGCCATGGTTCCATCCCTAGTACCGCATCTGCTCCCGACGCACTGTCAGGAGTGACCCTAAAGCACAGAGCCCAGAGCAGCCCCTGAACTCTCCCACCATGAAGGAGCTCAGAGCTGTGGCTCGGTTTGGGTCATTTCTTTCTGCACACATACCAACATGTGTATCTGCTTACATGTTATCTAAGCTTTACATGATCTATGGGGAGTTCAGAGGTCCCTCGGCCAACACCCAGTTATGCTCCAGGGATCACTCAGTGCAGAGATCAAACCAGGGCCTCTCACATGCAAGGCACGAATCAACCCCCAAGTCACATCCCAGGCTCCGAAGGTTTTTAAAAATATACATTCAAAGAAGCTCTTCATACCTTTGCGGGGTTTGGGACACATAGCTAGTGGTGCCCATCAAACCCAGTCAGTCAGATGCAAGGCCTTCACTGTACAATCTCCTTGCCTTGCAAGCGGCTGACCCACGTTTGATCCCTGGCATCCCATATGGCCCCCCAAGTACGGGTAGGAGTGATTCCTGAATGCTGAAAGCCCTGAGCCAGCTAGGCGTGCCCAAAAACCAAAAAAAGGTTTATTTATCAGGATGGTGCCGTGGGTCAGCCTTAGAGCACTTGCATGTGTAAGGGTTCTCCGTGGAGCGGCAAAATAACATACTTGAACCGAAATTAACGGAGAGCCTGGATTCTGTTGGTTGCACGGGGAGGGCACATTCACTGCACTTGGTTGCAGTGGAGCAGCCGGGCCCTCCAGACCACAGGTTCTGTCCACGGCAAGCAAGCTGATTCCGGTGTTGCGGCTGCCTTTGGAACTCCCCCAAACTCGCGCTGCTTCGCTGTCTGCGACGCCCTCTACACCGAGCCCCTCCAGCAGCCGCCGCCCCTGCGGACTCGGATTTCTTTTCCCAAAGTCCCTGGGAGCGCCGACGTCAGTCGTCGGCAAAGCTTCCCTAGTGTGGCACCAGGCGCTCGGTGGGAGCTTGGCAGGAAGATGCAACGGGCGAAATAGGGGCCCAGCCCTCGGGGGCCCCCAGGCAGAAGGCGGCCGAACCCCCGGGGACCCGCCCCGTCGCCCCAGCGGCCCCGGGAGTCGCCGCCGAGCCCCGGGAGATGGGTAGGTCCGGCCACCCCGCCGCCCGGCCCCCGCCTCTCTCCGGACGTCACATCCGGTGGGAACCTTCCGGGCCGCCGCGGCGGGCGGGGTGGGGCGGGGCCGCCGGTCTGGCGGAGCCCTGGCGCCCGAAAGGGGCGGGGCAAGGAGGCTCCGGGGCGCTGCGCGCGGGTGGGCGCCGACGGGACGGGCGCAGGGGCCGCCGCGACTGCGCGCCCTGGAGGCTGCGTCGGGCCCGGCCCCCGGGACCCCGCCGGCCGGACACCCCTCGCGCCATCCTCCCGGGTTCGAGCCCCGGCTCCGCTCCGACCTCCCGGCCGCTTCCGGACTCCCAGTAGGGAGGAGCCCGAGCCTCGAGCACGGGACGTTGATCGATCCCCCGCCTCGCTCCACTGCTCACACTGGGCCGGCCCCGCACCAGGAATGCTGTGGGATCAGGACCCGCCCCTCTAGTAGGGAGGGACCCCCCAGGGCCAGCCCTGTGCAGCTGGCTCTTAGCCTGCACACCCCAGCTGCCTTCTGCCCCGGTGCCTTCACCTTCTCATGACCCTGCCAACCCTGTGGCTTACACCGGCTCGGGGGTGGCCTACCTCCTACGGCTGTGGGACACAGGCTGGGCAGAGGACTCCTGGGTAAGTGACCCGAACCGCCCCCACTAGCCTGGGGGATCAGTCCCAGGATGGAGCCACGACTCAGCCCACCGGGCCACAGGCCCAGACAGACAGGCAGAGGCCGATAGGATCTCCAGGAAGCAGCCCACTGCCGGGGGCCAGCCAGGCGCTACCTCTGCACCCGCCTGGGTCCCCAACCTGGCTGGCCTAGTTTCACTCGGTTGATGTGATAACAGGTTGGTGGCCGCCCAGGTTGAGAAGCAGAAGGAAGCGAACCTCCTCCTCTTGCCCCGCCCCACAAACAGCCCCACTGGAGTTCCAGGCTCTTGTTGGGGTGCATGTGGGTGTGGGGAGGGCCATCGACGCCCTGTAGAGGTGACACAGCAGCTCCCAAAGCTCCATTTCTTGGACTGCCACCGAGAGCTTCGGCCAGCATGGGGCCCTGTCATGGCCCCTCCTGCGCTCCCTTCCAGCACCTTCCCCGGGGAGCGGGCACCTGCACCACACCACAGCCCCTGTCTCACTGCACGCAGCAGGTAGGGGTGACAGCACCACAGTCAGCCCCATGTCTGTCCACTGTCCAACACCGCCAGCAGCTTTTGGCCTACTGGGTGGTGCCCAGTCCCCCTCCCCCGCTCCTGGGACCATGTTGTCCTGTCTACACCCTGAAGCAGGGCATGCAGGGTACTCTCCTGAGTCCCTGGCCTCAGGGCATGGCTAAATGACACTGGCTCACCCAGTGACTCAACAGACAGACAGACCAACCGAGTGGACTTCCCCTCTGGAGACAGCCCCTGGGGGTGCTGGGGAAGCGACAGGCAGGGGGCACTCAAGGCCACTGAGACGGGAGGAGGGGGGCTCCACTTCTGGCTCCCACAGGCTCAAGCTCACCAGCAGCTTTGCGCATCCCATCTCTCTGCAGGAGGAGCTGCGCCGGCTCAGACAGCTGCAGCGGACCCAGCCCTGCTCATGGACCCTTTGGAGGACCGTCAGAAGGCATCAGCAGTGTCGCCCTCCTAGGGCACAGCAGCTTTGGGCTGGAGCTATGATGTGGAGGCAGGGCCGAGGCAGCTCCCGGCCATGGCCTGGCCCTCTCATGATCACAGCCCTGCTGCTCGGCAGCCTGCCGTGGGGGGCCCAAGGAATGGCTGTCTCCAACCTCAGTGTGGATTGGGGCCAGGCTGTGCCATTCAGTGGGGGGCCCTACCTGAGCATCGGGGATGGCTCTGTCATGGAGTTCGAGTTCCCCGAGGAGAGCGAGGGCATCATCGTGATCTCCTGCAGGTACGCAGGCCCCAACATCACGGGGCCTGGCCCCACACTGAAAGTCCTCTCCCTGGACACTGAGGTGCTAAGCGTCCAGAACGTGAGTGCCATGAGCTGGGCCAGTGGGGGCAGCTTCTTGGTGAACATCCGCTCGGGCCTGCCCGGGCTCGTCCCGCTGCACATCCAGCTCCTGGACCCCCACCAGGCCCCGCCAAGGCTGATCGAGGAGCGGACCGATTTCTTCATCAAGGTGTCTCCTGCCGAAGACCCCGCGGCCGCCCTGGGCACCAGTGTGCTGCACTTCTCTGAGAACCCGATCCTGTACCTGCTCCTACCTCTCATCTTTGTCAACAAGTGCTCCTTTGGGTGCAAAGTGGAGCTGGACGTTCTCAGGGGGCTCCTGCAGAGCCCCCAGCCCGTGCTGCTGGGCCTCCTGGGCCAGTTCCTGATCATGCCCTTCTATGCATTCCTGATGGCCAAGGCGTTCATGCTGCCCAAGGCCCTGGCACTAGGCCTCATCATCACCTGCTCATCACCTGGCGGCGGGGGGAGCTACCTCTTCAGCCTCTTCCTCGGAGGGGACGTCACGCTGGCCATCTCTATGACGTTCATCTCCACAGTGGCGGCCACCGCATTCCTGCCGCTGTCTTCAGCTCTTTACAGCCACCTGCTCAGCACCCACGAGACACTGCACGTGCCCATCTCCAAGATCCTGGGGACCCTGCTGTTCATCGCCATCCCCATCGCCGCTGGCGTGCTCATCAGGTCCAAGCTGCCCAAGTTCTCCCAGGTGCTACTGCAGCTCCTCAAGCCCTTCAGCTTTGTGCTGCTCCTCGGTGGCCTCTTCCTCGCCTACCGCATGGGCGTCTTCCTCCTGGCAGGTGTCCAGCTGCCCATTGTGCTGGTGGGCCTCACGGTGCCTCTGGTTGGCCTCTTAGTGGGCTATTGCCTGGCCATGTGCCTGAAGCTGCCGGTGGCCCAGCGGCGGACTGTCAGCATCGAGGTGGGGATGCAGAACAGCCTCCTGGCCTTGGCCATGCTGCAACTGTCCCTGCGCCGCCTCCAGGCTGACTATGCCTCCCAGGCGCCCTTCATTGTGGCTCTGAGCGGCACCTCGGAGATGCTGGTCTGGGTCATTGGCCACCTGGTCTATACCAGCCTGTTCCCGGTCCCCTGAGGCCGCTGGGCCAAGCTTCCGCCCCCTGAGCCCCTCACTGCACCCACTGTGTGCACACTTCTTGTGTACCAAAGGCCTTCAGTTCTCACGCACTTTGCACTCAGAAGATATCCGGGCTTCTTATTTTTTGTATGGGTTTTGTATTCTCCAGCTTTCGGTGCCAAAGAGGCAATGCTGAGCGAGCAAAGCAAGGTGGCCCTGCCCAGAACGTGTATTTCAATAAAAGAGAGAAGCAAGCCGGGAGCCTCTTGCCTTTGCCCTGCGTGGCCCGGGGGCGGGGTGGCTGTGAGCCAGGGTGGACCACAGGAGGGGACACAGCGTCGCGGCCGGCGGCCGGCCAGCGGGTGAGAAGCGGGCCGGGCCGGGGGAGGGGGCGCTCCGGGCACCCTCGGAAGGGCGGGGCTGGCCGGGGCGGGAGCGGGGGTGGGGCCGGGGGCGGGGCGGGGCGGGGCCTGCGGGGAGCAGGCGCGCCCTCTCGCGGCTTCCGGCGGCGGCGGGCGGTTCCGGCGCGCGCCGGGACGGCGGCTCGCTTCGGGGGTCCTTGAGGGTGCGCGCCGGCCTGAGTGGACGCCGCGGCGACCGCCATGCAGCTGACAGTGAAGGCGCTCCAGGGCCGCGAGTGTAGCCTGCAGGTAGGGCCGCGGGCCGCCGCTCGCCCCCGCGCTGCGCGGACCGGCCGGCCGGGAGGAGGCGAGGGCGGGGGGAGGGGGGCGCCGGCTGACCCCGGGCGCCCCCTGCGCCCCGCCAGGTGTCAGAGGACGAGCCGGTGTCCACGCTGAAGGAGCGGGTGTCCCAGACGCTGAACGTCCCGGTGCGCCAGCAGCGGCTGCTCTTTAAGGGCAAGGCCCTGGCAGGTACCGGGGAGGGGCGCCGCCCGGACCTCCGCGGGCGGCGGTGGGGGCGCGGCGTGCTCGGCGGACGGGCCCTCGGGAGGGCCGCGGGGCAGCGCCTCCTGCGTCTCCCGGCAGATGGGAAGCGACTCTCCGATTACAGCATCGGGCCCAACTCCAAGCTCAACCTCGTGGTCAAGCCTCTGGAGAAGGTGCTGCGCGAGGAGAAAGTGGCCGAGGGCCCGCCCGCGACACCCGCAGCCTGGCAGCTCGTCTCCCAGATCCTGGCTCGCCACTTCAGCGCCGCCGATGCCAGCCGGGTCCTGGATCAGCTCCAGAGGGTGAGAAGGGGTGCCCAGGCACCCAGAGGCCCAGCCCGCACCCCTCCCCGACTCCTGCCCTTCTCTCCCCAGGACTACGAGAAGTCCCTCAGCCGCCTGACCCTCGATGACATTGAACGTCTGGCCACCCGCTTCCTGCACCCCGATGTGACTGAGAGTGTGGAGAAGGGGCTCCCCAAATAGGGTTCTCAGGCTGTGAGGAGGCGCGCCTCCAGGCCGGCTGCATGTAGCATTAAATGTGTTCTTCCCTGGCAGTGTGCTTCTTTGTGCCAGTGCTTGATCCCACGGCCAGCCCCTGCACCTAGCTCTGCCATGGGGCGGGACGGGGGTGCCGGGAGTGCCACACCCCGCCCGCCAGGCAGGAACCCGGGCCTCGGCACAGGGGTTCCCGGGACCCAGGAGTGCTGCCCACTCCTGTCCCCTGGCCTCTGGCCGCGGACAGTCCACCCGGGCCCCCTGGAGTGCGGCGGCCAGTGGGAGTTGGAGGCACGTGGGTCAGTGCCCCGGGTCACCTCAGGCGCCACCTTTGCCACGTAGGCCCCCCAGCTCTCGGCCCTGCCCCATGTGGACCCTTGCTCAACCTGTTTCCTTTCCTGCAGCCCCGGTGACAGCCAGTGTCCCCTTGAGTCACCTACACAAGCAGGCCAAAAGCAGAGCACCAGCCTGGCGTTGCAGAGATGGGGTTTCATGGCTCTCTGTACCCCAGCTCTTCTTGGGGGAGCCCCTGTGCTGGCCTTGCGGTGACAGGTGATGTGACCCTGAACCCCAGGCTCCTCCCCCTTAAGAGAGGGCTCCCCCCATGTCCGTGCCCTCCTCGCTGCCTGAGGAAAGCTCGGGGTGTGGGGAGGGGGGAGTCAAGCCAGGGCTGAGTGGCACTGGGGGCGCTGGGTGTCATCTGGTCACCCCTCCTCGGCAGAGGGCCCCGGGAGGAGGTGGGGGGAGCAGGGGCAAGCCCTGCCCTACAGACAGCAGCGCCCACTTTGGCCCGCAGGGATGCTGAACCTCAGGCAGTGGTCCCCGAGGCCCTCCCAGATTTTCCACCAGGAAACTCGCACCCGAATCTTAAGTAGCACTAAAGGTGAGTGTTAGTCTTTGGGTTTGGGTTTTTGCCCCGGGGACCCTGCGGAGCGTGAGCTCAGCCCTCGGAGCCTTCTCCGCACGCCCTGAGAGTGCCTCTGTGTCTCTCCCCAGCCAGCCCGTGGCTGCTTTCCAGTCATCACCCAACAGTTGGCATTGCTCCCCTCACCCCCATTCAGCAGCGCAGCTTCGTTCAGCCGTGGCTTGGGAGCCTCCTGCCTGGTTTTTGTCGCTTTGTTCTCAGGTGCAGCCAGCAAGGCCCCGTCATCCCTGCACGCCTCAGAACTGGCTTGGGTTTCCAGTCACTTTGACCAGGGATGTGGCAGGAGGCGGGAGATCACTTCCGGGCACCCCCGGGCTGTGAGAGGGACAGACACACCTACCCTCACGGCGCAAACCTCAGACATGGTCACCGAGTCCCTCATGCCAGAGCCACCCAGCTTGGGGGTAACTGACGTGCCTTGGGAAGCAGTTAGCAAGGCAGTGGATCCTGGGGGTCAGAAATTGGGGGCTAGCGCCAGTTAGATGGGGAGACAGGAGTAGTGGCTGGTTCCTGGTCGGCCCATTCCAGGATGCTGGGGGTCATTAGGGACCACAGTCAGGACCCACTTGTGCATACTGTGGCAAGGGCAGGAGGCGCTAGAGGCCGAGGCCCAGCCAGCCACAGGGAGGAACAGGGAGAGAGAGCAAGCATCCACGAGAACACGTTTCCAGAAAGGGGTGGCCAGCAGTACCCACAGTAAGAAGAGCAAGGTGGCCGGTGGCATCCGTGCCCAGACCAGCAAGGGCCAGGCAGCGAGGACATGTACCGGGCCATGGTGGCAGGAGATGGAATTGCTGTGAGGAGGGAGGAACCAGTGGTGGCACCCCATCTTTGCCCAGAGAGTGGGCTGGCACCACGCGCACCTACAGGAAACCTTCCCTGGGATCCTCACACACACGTTGGCAACTGCCCTCTTTCCCCAGAGCAGACAGTGCTAGCAGCATGCCCATGCCACACCAAGCAGCCCCTCAGACACACCCTGCTGCCCACAGGGTGTCAGGACCACTCAGCCAGCCTTGTCTTGAGGCCACACCCGGCAGTGCTCAGGACTTCACACCTGGCCCTGGCGCCTGGTGTTTCCCGAAACCCTAGGTGGTACCAGGGATCCAACCTGGGTTGGGCGCGTGCAAGGCAAGTGCTTTGCCCACTGTGCTACTTCGCCAGCCTTTAGCAGCCAGACTTCAGCTCAGAAAGCAGAGAGCCCCCTTCCCCTCTCCCAGTTCTCCCTTCACAGGCAATGAGGTGAAGCAGAGCAGGTGCCTTGTAGAATGTTCCCGTGTCTGGGTTTGCCTGATCCCTTCCTCTGGATTGAGGCACTGCACTTTTGTTTGGGGCTACACCCAGTGATGCCCAGGGATTCCTGGCTCTGTGCTCAGGAACACTCCTGGTGGGGCTCGGGGGGACATATGGGGTGAAGGGGTATCGCCTTCCCCACTGTCCTCTGGCTCTGGCCCCTAGGCTGGACAGTTTGGTGTGAGTCTACGGAAAGGACACTCCCCTGCAGCTCCCCGATCAAGAGGTTGTCCCGTTGTTGAGGGAACAGTGTTACTGGCCACGCTGGTGGCTTCCAGACCTCTCCATTGTCCTGGTGCGTTTTCTCTTTGGGCAGAAGCATTCCCAGTGGTGGTCAGTAGCTCTGCCCAGCATACCCGGATGACCATATAGTACCAGGAATCAGGCCCAGACCTCTTGTAGAATGGATTGAGCCATCTTTGCGGCCCAAATTTTCCCTTTCCTGTTCAGCTTTGCTTAGGGTGTCCTCCCGGCTCTGTGCGTAGGAATCACTCCTGGCAGTTTCCCAGAGGACCCTGTGCAGTGCCTAGGATCAAACCCACATCAGCTGTGTGCAACACAAGGCCCCCCACCCGCCAGACTGTTTCTCTATCTCCCCCATTCTCCCTTCCTTTTTTGTTTTTTGGCTATGCATGGCAGTGCTCAGAGATCACGCCTGGCAAGGCTCAGGGGACCATATGGGGTGCCGGGTACTGAACGTAGGTGACTCTACACATGACGCTATCACTCTGCCCTCCCATTTTCCCTTCCTAATGCTCAGGTCTTTTGAGGTGGTGCCTGGAGAAACTGGCCGGCCCCACCCCGTGATCCCAGATACTTCCACCCCAACCTTCCCCCTTGCCCAGCTGCAGAATATCCTCTCTAAGTCTTTTGTTCTGTAATGATTATGAGGTGGCAATTCGCTATAAGGAGCTCCTCCCTCCCCTGCTTTTTGGGGAGGTGCTGAGGAGGGTTCCTAGGGCCTCCATCAGGCATGGTCTGCTTTACCTCTGAGACCCCACACGCCTCTTGATTTTTGAGGTAGACTTGTAAGAGTGGATGAGATGTTCCGCAGACTGAAAGGTTCCTAAATCGTAAGCTTGCAGATCAGTGGGACCTGAATGTGAGCAGCCACCTACCTGTCCCCTCCAGGTCTGACCCATGCCAGGACTAGCACTCGGACCCTCAGATGCTCCAGCTCTCCTGGCTCTGGCGCCCATTGGCCCTTGGGCATTATGCCCTGCTCCTCTGGCCCTCCTGGCGGACACCTTACATTTTCCTGACTCAGTCTACACTGAGTCTTTCCAAGGCACTCTGATTCCTTCGGCAGGGATGAGCACAGTGCCTGAATGTTTGACTAGGTCAGCTAGGAAATACACCTTTACCAGGAGGTGCTCAGGGACCTCTGAGTGCTTCCTGTCTGGGGTGGCACTGCCACTCTGACCCTGTGGTGCCAAGGATTCCCTGGGCCACCTCAGCAATGCTTGGGGGCCTCTGGGGGGTAAAACAGGTCAGTCCAGGAAGCTCCTCTTTCAAAAGGACCTAGTGACACACAATAGCATTACAGCCACTCCTTTCAGTTTTTGTGCTTAGTTTGGAGCTCAGGGATTACTGCTGGCTCTTTGCTCAGGGATCATTCCTGGTGGCGTT